TTCTAATATCACTAGAACATATTGTGTTGGTGCAAAATTAATTGTGATTTTGGCCATACTGTCACACTGCAAAACCACAATGGCTTCTGCACCAACCTTAGTTATATTTAAAATATTGAGAAAGAACTATGAAAAAGCATAACTCAGACAAACACACAGGGCAGGAACATTGCTGACCTTTTCTAGATCCGGCTCACGCAGAGCTAATGCTAGTTCATTATTATCCATCACCGAAGCTGCAGCCACATCCAGTGGTGTTGAACCTCTCATAGCTGGGGAGGCTGTTAATTCAAATGAAGATGAAATATAACCTGGATTGTGCTGTATCTATAAACTCCATATAAAAATACCCTACCTCTTAAAATTTAATTTCTAAACACCATCCACAGTGTATTAATCTATAATGATTTAAAGTATTTTTAATTGACAAATAAAAATTGTATATATTGTGTACATGTTTTGAAATATATGTACACTTTATGGAATGACTCAGCTGAGCTAGTTAACATATGTATTACCTCACATCCTCTTTTGTTTTTTGCAGTGAAAACACTCAAAATCTACTCTGGCAGCGATTTTCAAGAATATTATACATTAACTACAGTCACCAGGCTGCATAATAGAGTTTTTGAACTTATTCCTTCTATCTAACAGAAATTTTGTATCCTTGAACATCTCCCCAACCACTCTTCCCCAAACCTGGTAACCTCATTCTACTCTCTGTTTCTACGAGTTCGACTTTGATTTTAGAGCCCACATGAAAGCAAGATCATGCAGTATTTGTATTTCTACACGTAGCTTATTTTTTGTAATGTAATATCCTCCAGGTTCATCCATGTTGTGGAAAATGACAGTATTCCCCTCTTGTTTTTAAGGCCAAATAGCATTCCATTGTGAATAAATACCACATTTTTCCTATCCATTCATCCACTGATAAACACTTAGGTTGATTCCATATCTCAGCTATTGTGAATAATGCTGCAATGACCATGGAAGTACATGTATCTCTTTGACATACTGATTGTTCACAGCTTTTGGATATATATATCCAGAAGTAAAACTGTTTGATCATATGGTAGTTCTATTTTTAATTTTTTGAGGAATCTCCTTAATGTTTTCTAAAATGGCTGTAGTAATTTACATTCCCACCAACATGTATAAGAGTTCCCTTTTCTCCACACCCTCGCCAACACTTATTATGTTCTGTCTTTTCAATAACAGACATTCTAACAGGTGTGAGGTGATAGCTCACTGTGGTTGCAATTTGCACTTTGCTGATAATGAGTGATAGTGAGCATTTTTTCACATACCTATTGGCAAACTGTATGACCTCTTTGGTGAAATGTCTATTCAGGTCCATTGCCCATTTTTTCACCAAACGTTTTTTCTTTTTAAATGTAATATGTATAATATTTTTTGACCTTAAAGATGAAATAAAAGTCATTTACTTACCAAGACCAACACTGCTGTTTTCCAGTAAATAACTGAGATGATCAAACATAGCTTTTTGATTCTGCCTACTTATACGACAGAAGTAACAGAGAAAACGGCAACAGTTGGCCACCATCTTGGGAAAGGTGATTTCCTACAGAAAAAGCATGTCATTAGCTGCTGAAAGCAAATGATCTTTATAAAACTGAGTTCAGATGTTGAGGTCTCAATCACATCGTCAATCCCCGTATGTCCATGTGTGGGCCAAACTTCAGATACTGAAGATCTTCAAATGTGCAGCAGACTATGACTCGCCTCATCCCTGAGTCAATGAAAATCAAGCCTGGCACTAATTCAAAAACTTCATTAACATCAACGGGTTAGATCAGAAATTGATTTATTACCCTATTCTCAAAGGTGAAAGGCAGATTCCTTTGAGATGCCTCACTACCACTATCAGCTGTGCTTCCACGGGCGGAGGTTGCAGTGAGCCGAGATCGCACCACTGCACTCCAGCCTAGGCGACAGAGCAAGACTCCATCTCAAAAAAAAATAAAATAAAAATAAAGAAAAAAGAAAAATAAAGTTCACTTTGGAATTCTACAACAAATACATCCAAGAGTCTTATCATCAAATCTCAATCTGGATTGGAAATTAAGTGAAACCAACCAATGTCAGTATCATGGAGGATGGCTGAGTCTGAAGAACATGCTTGTGCCATGGACTGGTAACATGATGGGAACTGACTTATAATTCAAAATTTTAAAATAAATTAATACATAGAGTAATTTTTATGTTTCTAAGTTTCTAAATATCCCCTAAATGAGACATTTCAGTTTCTAAATATCCCCTAAAGGAGAATAATTTAGAAGGCCAAAAATTACACAGCATAAGAC